CGGCGCAGGCACGTAGGCTTCGGGCGGCAGCTCCGGCAGCGCCAGGTGGACAACGGGTCCCCAGGGCTCCAGCGGCTCAGGCCGCAGGGGGAGCGCAGGTAGCGGGGGCAGCTCGGCCTGGGCGAGCGCCGAGGGTGGCGGCGGTCCGGGTCTCAGGCCGGGAGGCAGGCCAGGCAGCGGTGGGTGCGGCAAGGTAGGCGGGGGTGGCGGGGTTAATGACAGCGACGCGCGGGCCCGGCCCAGCCGTGAATGGGCGCCGGCGAGCCGTGGGTGGGAGCGAGAGCGGGGCAGCCGCGTCGCCAGCTTGGCCACCGCCGCCGCAATCGGGCCCCGCGCATGCCACCAGCCTCAGCCTCATTCCTCCGGCGGCTGGCCACCGGCCTCACAGAGGATGGCCCGGCCAATCCGAGCCGCGTGCCTTCGCGTTCCAGCCAATCAAGAGCCCATGCGCTAGCTGCCTACGCGTCTCTACTGCCGCTGGCTGGCACGAGCTACCCCTGGCAGCCAATCAGAGGCAGCAGCGCTCTCTGTCACGGTCTTCTTCCCGCCCCCTCCCGGTCCCGCTCAATCACTCTATCCCTGGGCGCCTACTAACCCTGAGACCAGGCGCTGCATACGCAGTGAGCGCCCCCACCAGGCTTAAGAATCCATTGAGCCCTGCGGCGGCCAATGTGTGGCTCCCCTCTTTTAGGGTTTGGCCTTAGTGATTCCGGACTGATGTGCTTGCGTGTGGGTCAAGATATACGCAGATTTTCAGTTATCTCATAGAAAAGATAAAACGATATTAATTCAAAAGCAAAGTTTGGCATGTGGCATTTGTTAACGTTGCTAAGAACAGTTGTAAATGGCGATAGATGAGCAAGAATCAGAAAAAAAGAGAATGGTCAATCATTTAAAATTAGAATATAGAAACCTTTAGTAGAACAGTATTAGAACATTTCTAGGTGGATTAGAAAGGTATTACCCACTGCCTTCCATGACAGAGTCCGCTTGGTGGCCCCTGTGCCCAGATGTCCCTTCTAATCCTTTTCTCCAGTAAAGAGAGGATGTGGTTTATTCCATGCCTCAGGGAAGAGAAATATAAGATGAGACACTTTGCATATTTTAAAAGAATCAATAATTCTGTGAAAAAAGCAAAAGTCTATAATGATTCTCGAATTGAGCAAATAAAATGAGGTACACTAAGAGAAATTAGGCTGGAATTCCGATATTTACAGAATCTCCTAGAGGTTGAAAAACCCAAAACCTTGTGCTTACTGTGATAAGGTTTTGGTCTACACCTAAGTTATTGTAAACCAGGCCATAAAGATGAGCTGAGTTCCTCATGGGGTGTCAAATCTCATCAACTCTATTTGATGTGAATTCTTCAATTAAAACTTCACCAGGTTGCAAGAAGAAGTTTGGGTTTGGAAAGGTTCAGCTTAGAACATAGAGGCTCAGAGAGACTGATCCTGGGAATGGCCAGGCTCTAGGTCAAAGTTTAGAATAGCGGGTCAATCCCTAATTGTGCAACCCTATTCCAGATCCAGCCTAGGAGAATAATTTCCATTTGCATTTCTGGGAGTAAAGCTGTAGTCATGAGTTAAGAAAATAAAGCAATCCAGTAGCACCGATACTGATAGTGGATAAGTAAGTGGCTTTTTAAGATGTTTGAAAGTGTTCAGTAATGAGACAATAAATGTTTGATTTATCCATTTCCAAGAGCCCCTTAAGTGCTTAGGAAGAAGTTACTGGTTGGATTTTTGTCTCCCTCCTTAAGAGAGCAAGTAGATTATGTGTGTAATTGTTTGAAGTGTCTAAGGGAATTGAATTAATCAGGCTTGTAAGGCATGCTAAATATAAAGGGGGTGTGTGGATCTGTCAACTTTATAATCTAATCTAGCATTAATCAAAGAATGAAAGTAAGTTTTACATCTAAATTATAAGATTAATCAATACAATGACATCCCAAAGCAAGTGTAAAGGCTTAAAGAAAATAAGATTTTAGTTTAATGACTTTAATAAATTGATTATAAATTAAGACACAAATAATGCACAAGTCTCCTAACTTGGATGTGGCTACCCTACTAGATTGTGACCAAGTAATGCCCTCTCCCCAAGGACAGGCCCTAATCTGTTCTGTTTTCATGTTCTCCCATCAGAGCAAAGCCCCTGGCACACAGCCACCCTGTTGAATGAATGAATGAATGAATGATGTACAGGGTAAAGGCTGTAGGCCCAGGCCACCCCCACTCCAGACAAACAGAGGCAAACAGGGAACTATATAGGGTAAAGGCTGTAGGCCCAGGCCGCCCCCACTCCAGACAGCTGATTCCCCTCACTCCAGACAAACAGAGGCAAACAGGGAACTATATCGCCTTTATTAATACTTCCAGACTGCAGGAGACCCCAGGTCAGAGGCCAAGTCTGAGGGTCTGGTCGTTCTCACCCAGCAGACCAGGTTCTGGTACAGAGGCACTCAGGATGGGCAGTGGATCAGCTTGGATGCTCAGCATTTCCCAGAAGGGCAATGGCCTGGGAAGAGGCAGAGCAGGGCCCCCTCCTCACC